AATAAAGAGAAATTGGATAAGAGGTTTTTGTATATTTATATGGAAATGGTTTAAAACAGAATTATAGTTTATCTGACTTGTTAAATTTATAATGGAAAAAGGTCTAAACATGTAATGGATAATGATGACTTGTGTGTTTTGAAAATTAATAAAACTTGTTTTAAAAAAAAAAGAATTTAGTGTGTACATTTTAAGAATGTACTAAGCAGAATTTGACTGGAAGTTATGTGTTATATTGAATGTTATAATTGTAAAGGCATAAATTGAAGTTTAACTAAGAGTTAAATGGACAAAAATTAAAAGAGGCAAAGGTGTCATACTCCAATCAGTAACTACAGGGGAAAATCTTGTTTAATGAGAAAAGAAATATGAAATTGAAACAGGACAGACAAAAGTATAAATATAATGATTAGAAAGATATTGAAACTTAGAAAAAGATATATAATTGAATTTAGAAAGGAATGAGACAATTAAAAGCAAGGTTGAGAAAACTAAGGGAAGGGAAAAATTATTGAGAAAATGTTAAAATAGTAATAAGATATGGAATAGAACACAAAAATGAATATGAAATTGAGTTTGTGTCTATATAGAGAAGTGATAACCTGGAACCATGCTATTCTCAAAAAAAGATATTTTATTCGTATTATGTTCTGTGAAAACCCAAATAATTTTTTTACCAAAAAAAATATATTTTCTGCTTCCTGGGAATATCTTGTATCTTCCTTCCTTCTATCTGTAGGTGGCACATTTAAATCCTGTTAATTTGGCCAGTTTTCAATTTTAAAATATCAATCCAAAATAGTAAGGCATCCATTTTTTTTAATATACAGTTCCAATATTTTAATATGCTTCTGCAAAACAATATTTATTCTCTTTAAAATTCTAATTTTCTGTGTTTTCTATATTCCAAAAATTGCTTTCTTCCTCTCCTTTTTTCCCCAGCTTTAAATTTTTTCTCTTAATGCTTGTACCACCATTTTTAACATGACAGTGCGATCCTTTTTTCCCTGGCAAGTCTTTTTGGGGTTAGATTTTAAATAGTTCTTCTCACCCAGTTCCGTATATCGTTCACTTTCTCCTCTCCTGCACAACGCTTCAGTGTTCACGGCTGTCCCGTGGCAGCCATTTTGACCAGCCTCTTCTCACCGTCGTGGCATAGAGGGAAAAGCTCCAGGTTTCCACAGAGGAGTTGCGTTCTCCTCTGGGACTTCACGGAGCACCCCTCTCTCACTTCACTGCCCCTCCAAGGCAGTTTTCAGCTCCTTTCGGAGCCCACAAATAACAGAAGACCAGCGCAGGAACGGAGCTCTCCATTCAATGATTCTGGCTCTGTCACAACGTCAACCGGAAGTCAGGGCCTCTAATTTAGATATTAAAACAAAAAGCTGTGAGAAAGCAGAATTGGACTTACCTAATATCTCCTTTTTAGAGCAAAGTTTTTTGTTTTTTTTCTGGACACTCCACAACTTCATCACAATCAAACCCAAAACAAGAATAACACATTATGGTGTATCCTGGATGAAAGAAATAAAACATAGAAATTGTAGTTTGATGGTTATTTTTCGGATCTTGTAACCTTATTAATTATGAGATGATAGATCTTTTCATAGTAAGGTCAGCTGTTAAAACTCCCCTAAAAAGATCAAATGGTCTAAAAATAGGAAACTCTGAGTTCTAGTCCCAACTTAGGAATCAAAGCCAGCTGGGTGACTTTAGACTCTTCATCCTCTCTAGGCCCATCCTACCTCACAGGGTTGCTGCTGCAAGAAGGAGTTTTAGGTTTCTTCATAACCTTGGGTGGTGAGAGATTTTGCAGTAACCTTCCCCCATGAGTGGGGAGGGAATGGGGATTTTACTGTACCCTTCCCCTGGAGTGGGATGGGAGTGGAGATTTTGCAGTATCGTTCCCCTGCCATGCCTACTACTGGATGTCTTGGACTTTTATTCTGGAGACATATTACTTGGAACCTTGACAGGGGTATACATAGCAGAACATCCATTTGTAAGCTGGGGTCTCTTTCAATATTCTTGGAAGGGGTCCCTCTTGCACGTGCCATCTAACAAACACTTGTTTCCTGCTTTGGATTCCATATTGCTCTTCCATAATCACTCCACTCGTAGAATTGAACACAGGTTCCTAAAATTCATTGAGGGGCCAACTATCCCTCTGAGTAGTGAGGCATCCCAAGGGGACCAGGAAAGAGTTGGCCCATAACCCATGGCTTGCTTGTAACCTCCCCGCTTGAAGCTCCTGCTGCCTTAAGAAAGTTCAGAACATTCTCAAAGTTCCATCTCATCCTGGGCACCATTTTGTTTTGTCTTTTGAACTATTACTATCTGGCAGCCGGTACAGGATAATAATAAAAACAAGGACAAACAGGCTGAAAAACAGCTTCTATCCCAGGGCAGCAATTCTATTGAACTCTACTGTATAGTCCGGTGTTGGTGGGGTGTCGGGGGTTTTCAATTCGATGTGTGGAGTGTGAAGTATATGTGTTTGTGTTTATTTTCATGGTCATGATGTGCACTGAAGATGGTGTTTGATTTCATTGTATGAGGTGCAATGACAATAAAGTAAAGTAAACTGAAGATCAGCTACCATCTGCGCCATCTGTTGCAAGGGTCTTTGCATGATCTTAGTCTGTTGCAGCCTTTCCTAGGCCCAGAAGTAAAGGGTGATATTCTTCCGGTTTGGCCCGGTTCAGCCGGACCGGTAGCTCCAAGAATCATCTGTGAGCAAACCGGTTCACTCTGACGATCAGCTGCTGGGACGGCTCTTTACTGGCCTTAATTTCCTGCTTTTCAACCTCAGCTGCTTTGCGGGGCGCATCCAATTGCCGCGCATCAGCTGTTGAACACACAGGGAGAGTGCAGGACTGCAGGAGGTCAATATCAAACCCTCTGTGCGCATGAAAAGCGTGCCCACCGAGCCACACCCACAGAACCGGTGGTTTAAAAAAAGTTGAATCCCACCACTGCCCAGAAGTCATGTTCATGATTCACTCATGCTTAAGCCATCTTTGTCTGGACTGCTGCAATGCGCTCAATGTCTAGTTCCATCTGAGAGGGCAGAGAGGACCTTCTCGGGGGGGGAATGGCAGAGACAAATAGAGCAGGAGGTCGGGGGCAGACTGGAAACCTGAAAGTGTCCAACTCTTAGCTTCTATCCTCAGTCCTGGTTATCAGTTCTTCTATTGTCTTACCTATTGCATTGCCTTTGAATGCCAAGCCTGCATGTGATGAACACACCTATGATTTTATCAGGGAGGAAGCTGCCAACTTTGCATATCTTATGGAAACCGGGTTGTTAAGGGTACAGGCACAGGTGGGCTGCAAAAAATTTAGCAATGGGTTCTCTGCCTGGTTGCTGGGTGGGCGTGGCTAGTTGGCCTCCTGCACCATGGCGGGGGTGGTGGTGTCTTATTTATTTATTTATTTATTTATTTGATTTGCCAATTGTTTACAAGATAATAAGTATAAGTGTATACATAGTTGTGAATACATGAAATGGGTACATATAAGAAAAATAAAAGAATAAGAGAAACAATAGGACAGGGACGGTAGGCATGTTGGTGCGCTTATGCACGCCCCCTACAGGCCTCTTAGGAAAGGGGTGAGGTCAATAGTAGACAGTCTAAGGTTAAAGTTTTTGGGGTTTGGGGAAGTCTTATCCGTCCCTGGACTCTGGAGGCTTTCCTTGAGCCTCTGGGAGGGCAAAAAACAGCCTTCCAAGGCTCCGGAGACTCTCTGGAAGCCAGAAACGGGCTAATTTCCAGCCTTCCCAAACTTCCGGGAGGCCCATTTTTCACCCTCCCCAAGCCTCTGCGCACATCCTGCACTTACCTGCATCCAAAATGGGCCACGTGGCAACTCCTGGGAGGAGACCGGCAGGGTGGGCAGGGCCAGCCAGGAGTGAGATTTGAGGGATGTCTGAACTGCACAGAATCTTAGCTAGGGTCTCTCCCGAACCCCTGCATCCCACCCCTCAGGACAGGCGAATCTTGGTTCTCCTCATCATAGCCCTCATCTTTGTTCTGATATACCACAGGCAAAGTTTTGAATGACACCATTAAAGCCATCGCCTTCCCTCTTGAACCCTATGCTGCAGATACCCCCCTATTAGCCAGAGTCAAAGTTAATGGTTAACTTAGAGCCAGTGAAGAGGAGAGCTGAGTTTTCTCCTGCTTGTGCTGTGGATATGAGTTTGCAAACTGGGATGTTAATGAACATCGACACAGCGCTTTATTAATATATAGTGCAGATCACAGGACCATAGCAGCAAAATGAAGTTTCAAATTTCAAAGCCAGTTGCAAAATCATGGAAGTTGAAAAAAAAAGAGAATGTCAGAAGAATAATGTGGGGTTCCAACTCAAATGGGTGTTGTGCAAGAAGAGATCAAAATGAAATCCAGACAGCTGTGAGGAAAGGAGATTTATTTATTCCCAAAGCGAAGAGGTTTACCTCTGGAGGTAGCTACAGAGAAAATGAGACACAAAAACGCTGATTCATAGGGGAGCTTGTCCTTCGTTTTAATTCAAATTAAACTAAATTAATAGTTTAATTTTAATCTATTTGTGTTTACAGACCTTCTTCTTTGATGCGTGAATTAGGTCTGGGTAACCTATTTGGAGGGTTTATGGAAGTTTGAATAAAAGGTTTTCCCCCACTTGCTATTTTTGCTTGATTAACTTAGTTTCAGCTTGACTGTCAATTATCTAGTGGAGGCGCTGATTCTCAGTTCATTGTTAATACTTAAAGGAAAGTGGAGACAGTAACAGGAGTGAAATATCATTTGATTAAAACTTCCCAGAAGATCACAGGACACAGGGACCTTCTAAGTAGCCATAAACACATCCTCTCACGTCCAAGCTTGCAATCCAGGGTTAATCATCATCAAAGTCGCTTAGGGTTAGCTTTTTCCTAAACTCTTGCAGTTGTGCACTTTTCACACCAGGTGGATAGAACCATCATTAACTCATCTCTTGGAAAGTGTGGGGGGAAACATTACCAAGAAGAAAATGTGGTTAATGATGCCCTTTGGGTGCACCGAAGTAGGAAGTTATTTTTAATTAAACCGGTTTTGCAAAATCATTTTATTGTGTAGAGAGGAAGAAAGATGCTACATCAGCCAGCTGCCTGAGGCCTTGACAATCTTTAATAAATGCTCTCACTATAAAGCTACCCAGGATTATTATGGTGAGGCAAAAAAGAGTTGTGCTAGACTTAGATACAAGTGCATACTAAATAAAAATACTACTTAATACAAAGGTCTTCTCTATGTACAAAGAGGAACTTATATTCTGTACTATGCAAACAGAGACCAATTTTCCCGTAGGAGAACCAAGAATCTGTTTGGTGTATTGATGCTAAGTTCAGAAGGACAGCCTCTGAGATGCTTCAGGAGTTTGGATGAAATTTGCTAGTCTCTCTTTCTCGTAAGAATTATGAGCAATCCCTTATTTAGACTGGAAGATGTAGAAGAAACTGCCCAGGATTCCCAAAATCAGCACCATATTGCTCAGTTTCACGCTGGCAGCCCCACTGATGTTACAGAAGGAAAACTGGCAGCACTTCGTAGCGATGGATGATGACCCAGTGTCCATGAAGTTTTGATCACAGGTTGGAGCACATCGCTTGCTGATCCGGTAGTCATTGGGCTCACCTTATGCGGCAAAACAAAATCAAGTAATTATATAAAAATGCAAGAAATTAGAAGCCACCAAAAAGGGGGGGATTTCAGCCCTATCTAAACTCAGCTTCTCATTCCACTTGGACCTTCTAACTTGGTCACTTGAAGGTGGGTGGACTTCAACTCCCAGAATTCCCCAGCCAGCAGAGGTTGAAGTCCACCCAGTTTCAAATTGCTGAAGTTGAGAAACAGTGTTCCTGGGTCCCTTTGCAGATACTTCCTCTACTTTCCAAGCATTCCACTTCACAGCATATGGAAAGAACATTAAACATTCCTCTTTCCCTGGTACATCCAACTTTCTTAACCATGATTGAACCTCTCTGGTCTAAAACATTGAGGCTCAAGTGTATCTGAATCCACCCTCCTCTTGCCAGCTACCCCTTCCACTCAGACCTCTGGAGAACTAGTAACGTGGAAATTAAGAAAGTTCCAAAGAAACTTTCTTCTGTTCATCATAACATTCAAATCTGGGTCCAAAATCATGAATGTCGACAACATGACATCTCTGCCCCCAGTATTAAAGAGCAATGTTCAATATTTTTAAGAGGAAAATAATCTTGGTATTCGATCATCCCCAAAAACTGCTTTCCAGTTCATTCCAAAAGTAACCCATAACGTAATTATTTCTGCTTCCGTGTCGCAAAGGTGCTTTTTTTTTTTTTCAAGAAGCAACTGGGTTTTCTGGGTTTTTTTTTTTCCCTTTGAAGACCTTTCACTTCTCATTGCAGAAGCTTCTTCAGCTCTGACTGGGATGATGGGGTATGGAAGGATTTATATTCCTTGCAGGTGGCTGGTCATTTGCATCCTTTCAGAGGGTCGTTGAGGCCACTTGGAGGTTTATCTGTGTCCTCAGGGTCACCTGAGTGGTGCTCCTGGTTCCTGTAGGCTGCAATTTTTCTTCTGGAAATCCATTCCTACTTTTTCCACACCATTCCAAGGGTGTTCATCCCAAATTGTGTAGCTAAAAGTTTGTTTTGTCTGTGTCTTCAGGGTCACCTGAGTGGTGCAAATGGGTGCAGCTCCTTCTTGGAACTGTTGAAAGGACAGTGTTGTAGACTGGAGATGGTTTTCAAGGAAAAAAAACCAGAAAGTCCAGTTGCCTCCTGAAAAGGCACCTTTGGAACAACCATCACCTGGATGATAGAGAATCTCCATAGACATTCTGCTTCAATAATACATACCCTGTCTGCCACGGCTAACCGTTTTAACGGTAGTGCAGTATTTGTCTGTTTCTGCGCACTTCTTAACCGACATACAGTTCCAGTTGGAAGGTTCATTTTCACAGGAATAGCAGGCGAGGGAATACACTGAAAAAAAAGACAGAAAGACACATTTTATAGAAGAGTAACACAGCTAAACATCTCTCATACTTTGAGAAACTTTCCTTGCTAAAAATCCAGTATTCCTGGACTTTGTGGTCCAACCTAGTAGTGGCTGGGCATTTTAAATCCAAATACATGTAGTCCTCGCCTTCCGACCTCAATTGAGCCCAATCTTCCTGTTGCTAAGCGAGGCAGTGTTTAAGTGAGCTTTGCCACATTTTACAACAGTTCTCGCCACAGTGAGTCACTGCAGTTGCTAAGATAGCAACACGGTTGTTGTGTAAATCTGGCTTCTGTGTTGACTTTGCTTTGCAAAAGATGATCATGTGGCTCCCCTCCACTCAGGACACCGTCATAAATGTGAGCAGTTGGCAAAGGTCTGAATTTTGATCACGTGACTATGGAGATGCAGCAACGGTCGTAAGTGTGGAAAATGGTCATAATTATTCAGTGCCGTTGTAAACTCAAACGGTCACTAAATGAACTGTTGTAAGTCAAGAACTACCTGTAAAGGTCAAAATCAAAATACATCAGTACCCTTTTTTTCAGACTTTGCTATAATTACAAGGAAGAGTCGTTATTAAATTATTAGACAGAATAATTAGACACTTCGAAAAGCATTTCGGGTGGATCCCAAATTCAGAACGTCGCAATACAAACTTTATATAAAAAAAAAAACCAAGCTCTTCAAATTTTACAAAATTATCAGTTGTTGGTCAATGGTGAATGAAATCTGTGCAGGTAATCTTCATTTAGCAACTGCTTCATTTAGCAACCATTTGCAATTACGACGTTAATGAAAAAGTAGCTTTACAACCAGTTTGTGACATTTGCCGGCCTGTAAAGCAAAGAAAAGTTGAAGCTAGATCATAAGACGTGGTTCCACTTAGTGACTGATTTACTGAACAATCGAGCTGCTGGTCCCAGTCTTGGCTACTACGCAGGATATACCTGTAGCCAGGAATGGGATTCAACCAGTGTAATAACCACGTGCATGCCAAATACACGCTGTGTGCTCGCGCACAGCATTTAAAAATCATCTTCTCCTGCAAGCCCTGTGTGTAACACAGCTTTCTCGCAGCAATCAGCTATGCCACGCGAAGCAGCTGAGGTTGAAAAAGCAGGAAAAGAAGGACACCCTAGAACGCTGATGGCTAACCTTTCTGTCCTCACGTGCCAAAAGTGCCATAAGTCAATGCATACGGGGGGGACACGCCCCCTGTGCATGCGTGCATGACCCTTCACATGCACAATGCGTGTCTTGGCATATGCACATGCAACCACCCCATGCGCGACACATGTCTCCTAATTGACCACCAGGTGGCAGCAGCAGGACAGATTTTTTTTTTACCCTGAATCTCTGATGCCATCTAGTTGTGATTTGAATATTGGAAACCTAGATGTGTGAGAATTTCCTAAGAGGTCTGTAGGGGGCATGCATAAGCGCACCAACATGCCTATCATCCCTGTCCTATTGTTTCTTTTTATTTTTCTTATATGTATCCATTTCATGTATTCATGACTATGTTTAACTTATACCTATTATCTTGTAAGCAATTGACAAATCAAAATAAATAAAATAAGAATCCTAGTAATTTAATACAGATATTATGATGCACTGTTTTGTGGGTAGCACACAAATAATCATCCACTTACAACTGTTTGCTTAGTGAACCTCCTGCGTCTGATACTTATGACCCAGTTCTAAAGTTCTGATAGTTGGGCTCCCCACAATCACATGACCATATGTGAAACATTTGGCAACTGGTCTTCATTTACAGCTATTTGCAATTTCTCACAGTCGTGTGACTGCATTTCACAACAGTTTCGCTGAAAACCAGCATTTAGTTACAATTTTCAGCAAAATTGGCCCATATTGGTTTAACAACTGCAGCATTCACTTAATACAAGGCAAAACAGCTTGTAAAATCAAGTCCGTCATTGGGATGACTCAGTTTATGAGCACCAGGACTTAATGACCATTCCGGTCATAAGTCAAGGACTATCCATAAATGGTTTTCCTCCTGTCACTTCCTCTAGGCAACTTCAGAAGATCTGCTCTCAACAGCTATGGAATCCTGCTTCTATAGGGACGCTATATAGGGAGGGGAAAGGCCTAGATTAGATGATCCTCTGGTCCACTTCAGCAACCTTCTTGTATCCTCAAGTTACAGAATAATAGAGTTGGAAGGGACCTTGGAGGTCTTCTAATCCAACCCCCTGCCCAAGCAGGAGACCCTATTCCATTCCACACAAATGGCTGTCCAATCTCTCCTTGAGAACCCCCAGTATTGGATGTCAATGGAGATTCTCAGCCATCCAGATCATGGTTGTCCCAAAGATGCTTTTTCAAGAAGCAACTGGACTTTCTGGTTTTTCTATAAAGTGTTTCACTTCTCATCCAAGAAGCTTCTTCAGCTTGGAGCGCCCACAACTTCTGGAGACAAGCCATTCCACTGATTATTGTGGAATCTCTCACTGTGAAAAATTTTGTCCTTAGTCCTAATTAGTTCCCTAATTAGTTTCCATCCTTTTTTTTTTTTCTTGTCCTGCCTTCAGACACTTTGGAGAATAAATTGACTCCCTTTTCTTCGTGGCAGCCCCTCAAATATTGAAAGACTGCTATCATGTCACCCCTAGTCCTTCCTTTCCTTAGATTAAACATTTCCAAGTTGATCAGCATCTTCTACTACTTTCAGTCACAAAGCATCAAGAGCCAACCAAGCTATTCTCGTTACAATCTTGATGTTCACATCTAATTGCTGGTTGTCCATTTACCTTTAGATCTGCAGAGCTTGATGAAATTCTAATGGAGATTTTGACATGTAAGATCTGCTTGTTTGTTTTTCTGCCCTGCCTAAGTTGAAATAACTCATTAGACCCAAATAGCTGGGTGGAGTTACCACACCTTCTGGAAGGGGAATGACCCAGAAATGAATCCAATGAAGAATAATTCCCTGGGGTGGTTTCATTAGAAGGTAGTAGGTGGTGGGACTGGCAACTGACCTGTGGGTGAAACCTGTTTGCATTGCCTCATTTCATCAGACCTGGGAAGCATGAAAGGCACAGCGAGAAAGATTGGCATTCATTCCAATCAGCCTTATGGTTTTTCCCAGGGGATAATTTGGGTCATTAATAGAACTCCTCAAACTTGCCCAGCCAGTCTCTGAGAATCAGACATGATTGAATGAAAGAAACAAAAAAATAAATACGAGAGCAAATTTAGTGTAGCAATTTAAAACCGGGAAGCCATAAATTCTAACCCTGTCTTAGGCTAGGTGACCTTGTGGGCCAGCCAGTCACTTTCTCTCACCCCCTAGGAAGGAGGCAATGGTAAACCACTTCTGAATTTTTTTTATCAAGAATGCTGCAGGCAGTTGTCAAGGCAGCCTCTGAGAATTGGACATGAGTGACAGAAGAAGAAAAAAGTGTTAATATTGGATCCTGGATATTTTATGACTAAATTCACTTGCAAGGGGAAAGGTTGGATGTTGAAAGATCTCTGTGAAGAAGTTCTTCCCTCAACTTTGGAAGTTTTTAAGAAGAGATTAGACAACCTTTCCCTTCCAACTCTGTTATTCTGTTAACTTGAAGATCTCAGCTGAATGGAGACCTTCTTTACAAATTTTCATTTCAGCCCTACTACTTGGACAAGCATCTAAAGAAAAGAAGGTTGCTTGGATATCCAGACCAGCTTTGGCAACCTTAAGATGGGTGAACTTAAACTCCCACAATCCCCCCATGCGAATATATAGGTAGAGCTTCAATTGCACCATGATTGAGGGCAACCCTACCAGATGATATCACTTTTTATATTTTTCTCTGTATTGTATGTAGGGTGGGTCTTGTTTAGCACAATTTGGAGGAAGAAGAAGAAGAAGAAGAAGAAGAAGAAGAAGAAGAAGAAG